ATAGCACAGTAGTTAGGTCTTGTACAGGAGGTCTAAACATGGATGCAAAACCCGTTTCCATCACTTCCTATCAATGCAAGCTTTCTGAGCTTCAGTTTTACAGTATTTTAAAAAAGAAATAAAACATTATATACACTTCATTGGGTTATCAAGAGAAAAATAGTGAGTTAATACATGTAAATCAATTAGAATAATTTTGAATTACCATTATTTTTTTTGAAAATCCTCATTGTTAGGTGTGAAATTTAACTCACAGAGAAGTGAAAGTTGAGTTACAGGACTGTCTATCTATCCCACCCTCTTTCTCTCTGGTAGTATACATAATGAGATTTATCTTTTCCCATTTATTGAAAAAGATTTTTTTCTCATACAACATATACTGCTTACAGTTTCCCCTCCCTCAACTCCTCCCAGTTTCTCCTCACCTTCCCCTGCCATCCAGATCCACATACTTTCTGTCTCTCAATAGAAAATAAAACAGGTTTCTAAGATACCAAAAAAAGTAACAAAATAAAATATAAGATAATACAAAAACATTCACATTGAAGTTGGAGAAGACAAACCAAAGGAAAGAAAAGAGCCCAAGAGAAGGTACAGGAATCAGAGACTCACTTATCCACACACTCAGGAGTCCTATGAAAACACTAAACTTAAAGTCATAATATTTAGATGAAGACCTTTTGCAGACCCATGTAGGCCCTGGGCTTCCTGGTTTTGTGAGTTATATGAGCTTTGCTTGGCTGTTTTAGAGGACTTTGTTCTCCCAGAGTCTTCTATCCTGTCTTGCTCTGAAACTCTTTCTACCTTCTCTTCCATGGGGTTCCCTGAGCTCCTAAGATGGGGATTTGATGGAGACATCCTATTTAGAGCTGAGTGTTCCAAAGTCTCTCACTCTCTGTGTACTATTTGTCTGTGGGTCTCTGTATTTTTTCCCATATGCTGTAAAAGGAAACTTCTCTAGTGATGGCTGGATAAATCACTGGTCTATGAGTGCAGAGATTATCGTTAGGAACTGTTTTATCACTAATTTTATCATTACTCTTTTTTCCTTTTAAAAGACCAGTAGTATTTAGCTTTACCCTAGGTCTCTGGGTTATCTAGTCTCAGGTTCTTGGCAACCCAAGTGATATCAGATATGGGTTCCATCTCCTGGAGTGGGCCTTAAGTCAAATCAGACATCGGTTGGTTACTCCCACGAGCTTTGTGCCATCATTGCCCTAGTGTATTTTGCAAGGAAGACAACATTGTAGATTAAAGATTTTGTGGCTGGGTTGGTGTGTATGTTTCTTCTTTGGTAACCTGGAGAGTACCTTCACAGACCAAAGATACTAGAACATAGGGCTGAAGGTTTTATATGGGCATCAACTCAACCTCTCCATGTTCAATAAGTTGTGTGAGTGTTGTCTTCAGCAATGAGGCCTTGCTGTCAGATTATGGGGAGCAACCTATGATCTTGGCAATAACCCAAGTTGTTTGGAGATTTCCATGGGACTCCTTTGGCCAACAACTCAATTGGATATAACCCTATCTGGTGTGAGGAACTTTATTTGGTAACAAGAGATGGCCACTTGGGACCTGAACCAGGATTATATCTTTTTATAGGTCACTAGTAAGAGTTTTAATTGCCTTGTATAAGATCATTATTATAATGTGGTTTAGGTATGATATCTTTAAACTATCAATTTTATGGATTGTCTTAAATAAATGTGTTAGATTTTTAAAGTAACTATCTGCTTGGTTGAAAATCAGAAGTTCAGTTTCAAGGCAGCAATGTTACCTTCATGAAAATGGCCTGACCTGACTGTATTCTATCCTTAGAGGTACTAAATGCCTCTGGTGTGTTTAATCTTAAGGATAATCAAACTGAAACCAATTTTCTTAGACCTAAATGGGGGTGAGGATAGAGTCTTTATTTATTCCAAAGTGAAAAATCTCATTGCAGTATTCTTCAACCAGAGGGAAGCTAACAGGGCTAAAGTATGTTTATTAAAACTGGTATATAGATCACTACATGTAATCTTTTAAATCACTTAATTGCAATTATAAAATTTTCAATTGCAATTATAAAATTCAATTTTCTTTCCTTTTAACCTCAACATTCAGAGCAATATTTTTCATTGACCTAATGGAGCTACACATTAATGTAGCAAAATAAAATAGAAGGAGCAGAGGTACAGCGACAGTGAATAACTCAGATAGTCTTCCTGACTCTTGCTGTTTTTTAATCTAAGGTTATTGTGCAGCCTTTGTGATCACCATCCCCCACAGCAGTGGTTCTCAACATTCCTAATGTTGCTTTAATACAGTTCTTCATGTTGTGGTGATTCCCCTCCGCCACCATACAATTATTTTTGTTGCTACTTTATAACTGTAATTTTGCTAACTGTTATGAATCATAATGTAAATATCTGATATGCGACCCTTGGGAAAGGATCATTCAACCCCTAAAGGGGTCATGACCCACAGGTTGAGAACCACTGCTCTAAAGAAAACAGGAGCTGAAAAGTTCCCTCTGGAGTTCTCTTCTCTCCTTTCATTCTCTCTTCTCTCTGTGGTATCTGTAAAGTGTACCCTTCCCACTTCAATAACACTGAAAACAAAAGAAAACCACCTAAGATTTCAATTCTCCTTCAAATATCTCTTATTCTTTATCACTGGTAGTAAAGGAGACTCACTGTCTCCAAATTTCTCTCATACCCGAACGAACTCTACTCATATTGTGTGTGGAAAGCCTCACATGAGGACATCCTTAATATTCATCACGTGATTTGTCTGTCATGACTTCCTTTTTTTTTCCCTAACAGCATCATTTGCGACTTGAAAACTCTATTTTTTCTCAAATGATTTTTTTACTTGATTTTTAGCACTTCATGCTCTCCTGGTCCTTTCCTTCACCCCATATTAAATCCAATTGCTTCCCCACTCCCCATTTCTAATGTACCCCCAGCCTTCTAGATACTGCAGTCTTCTTGAGTCTCCTCTCTTAGAGGTCTCACTGAGCATCATGACTTTGATACCGTCCATCCCTTTGGTGCTTTCAAGTTCCTAATTCAAGTAAAGTATTTCTTTTATAGATTAGATGAAGTAGCTACACCCAAGCATCACTGTAGGTGTGTGAAAGGTCTGAATCTCAGCCACTTCTCTACTTCATTCTCCCCTCAATCCAGACCAAACAACAAAAAGCTGATGGTATTTCTCTCCAAGCCTCCCCATCCCAAGTAAATGCCACTGCTACAACCCCAGTATCACACACACAAAATTATAAAATAACATCAGCAAGATGCATACTTGTAATATTTATAACACATTGTTCATTTTTATGTGTTCATTTGTTCAATCGATTTTTTTTACTGTCTAGAGTTCTTTCTCTCTCACATGCTAAGGTAAAATGAAAGCATTTATACATGCACCCTGAGTTGTACTACTGAAGTACATCAGGAGTCCGGTGGCAAGGTACATGTCCTTCTTCCAGTCTGGGATGCACTCTCTAAATTATTTTACTTGGCTCTTCACTGTCTGCCTGTTTATAGCCTGAGATCATTTTAACCCTCAGCACTAAACCTACTCAAACCCTCCAGTGACTTCCTATCTTAATCAGAATGATAGCCTGATTTTGGAACACTTAACCTTTAGATGACATAGTACATTGATTTAATTCTGATCTTTTAAATATATCAAAAGGAGAAGATTGTTTGAAAAGCAAAACTAGTTTTTAAAATTCAGAAAAAATAACTCTAAAACTTAATTACATATTAATGAAAGCTCAGGTGCATTTTATGCAGTATTTCTACATAATCACTCAAGCAGATATTAGAAACTACTTTTCTGTCTTCAGAGAAATTTTCATATGATTAGAACAGCATTTTATAAATTCCAATAAATTTGTATTTTTTTTTCTAATTTAAACTCTCCTTTTATGACTTAAAAAATTTTCCAATACACAATAATAGTGTGAGTTATAGGCTTAAGTTTTACCTAATTCTGTTATTGAAGTTACTAGTAGTTTAAGTTTAAAGAGTTTACATTTAAAAAATTGGGGCTGGAGAGATGGCTCAGAGGTTAAGAGTACTGACTGCTCTTCCAGAGGTCCTGAGTTCAATTCCCAGCAACCACATGGTGGCTCACAACCATCTGTAATAAAAAATCTGGTGCCCTCTTCTGACCTACAGTCATACATGCTGTATACATAATAAATAAATCTTTAAAAAAAATTTTAAGATACTAGAATTTCAAAATGTTTAAATTTAATGAACTTTGCTCAATTTGACAAAATCACCACCTTGATAACTCCAAGTTTCTCTCTGTGTGTGTGTATCTATATCTATATATCTATATCTATATCTATCTATCTATCTATCTATCTATCTATCTATATCTATCTATCTATCTATCTATCTATCTATCTATCTATCTATATATATATATATATATATATATATATATATGGAGAGAGAGAGAGAGAGAGAGAGAGAGAGAGAGAGAGAGAGAGAGAGATACAATCAGTCTTAACTCACCCATAACAAGTTTGTAGGTCTTATGTGAAGATTTACATGGTCATCTTCTCCATGATGCTGTGAGGCATTCCATGGGCCAATGACTTTTTCAACCTTCCTGAACAACTATAACTCAGTGACTTTCAAACTTGTGTAAAGAAAATATATATTATTTGATTTATTCCTAATTTTTGCTACCCAACCCATATATTTAGTTTATAGTCATTACTAAGGTAATTTTCTTTTTGTTAATTCTGTAATGCTTAGTTCCAGATGCTTTAAGTTTTCTCTTTTACATATATATATATATATATATATATATATATATATATATATACACACACACACGTATATTATGTATTTATATACTATTTTATGACCATACTACAGCAGAATATGTATTTCTTTTCTGCAAAAACAAGTAGCCTAGAGATATTTCTGGGAAACAAATTTTCTTAGTTTCTCTGGCAAAGACCGAAGGGTTTCCTTTGTTTTTCTGTCTTTCAGCAAGCTCCATTGCCAAGATTGGCTCAGATCCTCTAAAGTTCGTAAACGATGCTGTGGAGGAAACCACTGACTGGATCTATGGCTTCTTTTCCTTGCTTTCTGACATCATCTCATCTGAAGGTGATGAGGAGGATGAGGATGCAGATGAAGACATTGATAAAGGTACCCAGGGCACAGAGTTGTATCTAACATCCACGACTGGGAATTGGACACGCTTGACATTGGCTAACTGAGGGTTTAGCCCAAAGGAGCACTTGGGCAGGCTAAACTAAAATGGATACATGTCTGAGTACAAAAAGCACTCCAGTAAGCTGCCAAATAGAGTAAATCGCTCTCCATTTGGCTTTAATCTTATAGTTTATCTGCCATTATGGAAAAGATATCAAAATTAAATGCTGCTATTAGAGTGGCATTATAGCAGGGATTCTTAATATAAATAACTATAAAACCACAACAGATTACCCACTTATGAGTTTATTTGAGACAGAGTAGCTATTTTTCAAGTTCATGTCTAGGAGGATTGAAACAAAAATATTAAAACCAACAATGATGTGTTTTGTACAAGTAAGCCATAGTAATAGTCACATGGCGGTAACCAATCTTAATAAAAGCCCAATCAAAACATACAGTGATGGAATCAAATGGAGGCATAGAATGGAAAGATACATTTTAAATGTAACACAAGTTAGCAGCTCACAAATAATGAACGAAAGTAAATGGAAGAACAAGCTGTATATAAATTGGCATCTAGCTGGTTTACAAAGGAGAAAGTACACTGATCCAGTCTGTTAAATAAAATTTAAAAAAAATGGTTACTCTTACTCATCCAAGATTATCCATTCAGTCTTACCCAGCAGGAAAATTTTGACTATTAGAAACCCTTTTATGACTTTGTCTGAATTTATTTCTGTTCTGGCCCTGTGAGAAGTGACAATAAACAGAGAAAATTGAAATTAATATGATGCATGAGCTCTAATGCAGTAACTTGGAGCACTGCTCAATTTTATTAAACTCATAAAATGAAACCATCTTAGGTGAATATATATAAACAAAGAATGTACTTTGGAATTTAGGTAGCAAAGTATGCAAGAATCATGACTATTGAAAGCAATAGCTTGCAAAAAATGAGTAAATAGCAAAACATGAGTAAATAGCAAATCCCTGCTACCAGATATGCTAATTTTCTATTTTTTCTTGATTTAGGAGAAATAGAAGAACCTCCCTTGAAAAGAAAAGGTTGGTTTGTCCATTTTCCAGTGTTTTCTTTCATATATATATATATATATATATATATATATATATATATATTATTTTGAGCATGACTTAGATGCTTCTCACTTGTATTGTTACTTAACATGTTTCTTATATACAGGTTTGTTTAACAAGAGTGTGTAAAGCTCATAATTAGAAAGAAATGCTGACCTCCTAGTGAGCTCATCCAAATATTTTTCAGTTATTATTTTAGTGGAGGTCAGTGCATTTGTATACCTCTGTCTGTATATGGACCAATGTAGATTGGGATTTCTTCAGTGCCAGAGAATTCTGTAGCTGTGAAAATGGTCCAGAAATTGATGAGGCCCATATTTACTTTTATTATGATCAGATTTACTCAGTGTAAAAGTTTAAGCTCTTTGCTTTTCATATTTTATGGTCAATATTTTGTATCTCAGGTAATGACAATGATATATAATAGCCACCATAGTGTGGATCATGTGATCTTGGGGGAAAAGTCATATCAGTAAATGTATATATTGGTCATTCCCAAGGGAATAAGTTGCCTGGGATGTGTGGAAATGATGTAGAGCATTTCCTTGTAAGGAAAGGTAGGGCATTGGTGACTGATCATAGTTAGGAGCAGCATGCTTCAAGGAATAGTGGTACATCTTTGGAACAAGTTGCCTCAAAAGACCAAGACTTTTCCAACCAAGCATAGAAAACATCTCTGAAAATGGTGATGAAAACCAAGGCTACCAACCTGAGTACACTTTGATGTGAAAGAGAACTAGGCACTGCTTTATTCTACTGTGGTTGTTAAGTTGCCGATGCACATACATATTAGAATACCCTTGATTTATTTACTCAGTATAAGTCACCCTCCAAAGATCACTAAGGATTCAACAGTGGGATTGAATGTAATCAATATATACAGTCCAGACTTAGGTGTGAGTGGGCAGGCTGAGCAGGTGGTGAATGCCATACTAGTCGGAGGAAAATTCGAATCTCTGATTAACACCACAACAACAAAAAGAACTGAGCTAGTGAGGTTCCAGTGTGGCAAAGCCATCTTGATACAAACGTGTTTTTGAAGTGCTACGAGGAGAAAGGAAATTATTCTGACCTCAGAATGGAGGATGAGAATTGAAAAATTCAAGTCAGAATTCAGTTCTCAAGTTCAGGCTTTGAAATTCTTGATTGATATGTAAACTTTGTGAGGACAGCAGGGTCTTTTCAAGGCTGATATTTAATAGCTACTGATTAGGACATAGTCAAACTTCAACTAACGAGCTACTGCCTGAATGGAAATTGTATGTCATGAACATGTCTATTTTAATTGTACATGGAGAGAGAAAATCAAGTGGAAAAGTTATTTTTATTAACAAATTGATTTACCAAACACATCAAAAAGTCATATTCTACTCATATACAAAAATATTTACTTTTTAGTTAAATGTCTCTCCTTTCTGATTTGACTTTCATATTGTGATTAATTTAAAAATTCATTTTTGTGAAATTATCAGCATACACCAAAGATCCATAAAGTTGTTTAAATATTTTTCCTTCTATCACTGCCTTGAATCCTCAAATCACCAACAAAAATCTACCCAGTAGTGGTTTAGGATACTTTTCCAAACTTTAGTAAAAGCATTAGTGAGGATAATCTAAGGGATTTATATACCGTATTTCCTAATATTTTGAAGTATTCCATATTCAAAAGTAGGAAGATAATTGACTTTAAATTCAGGTCATTTCTTAGTAGCCCAGAATGATAATCTCCTGACATGAACCAATTGATTTCTACCCATCTAAATGACTGTCCATTAACATGCTTTCCAATTCATATGTATTCACTGTTTAGCCATTATTTCGCTTAACCCAGACCACAATGTATTTTATTTGACTTCCCTGTGTCTTCCTAAGGCATCTTATTTAAATCACTTAGAAATGTATTTCTGTTTGCTCTTGTATTTCTGATATTACCAAAGTAAAGAAAAAAAAAGAATTCTATCACACTGTTATTTATGGGTGAATCTTGCAATTCTAATTTGATGTGGAATAATGGCCCAGTCAGCTAATCTCAAGGTTGCAAAGATTGATTATTAAACAGGCTATTAAAATGGATGAAATTTTTGGATACTATTCTGTGGTTTGTGTTTCTATGTATAAATACACCTTGGGGCATTTCATATAGTACCTAGTGTCTTTATGTGCTTGTTGCATATTTATTTTCAACTTTCCAGTTTTAAAATATTTTGTGCTTTCACAAAACACTCCACAATGACCATCCCAGTTACTAATTCATGAGAAAATTATTTTTATTATGTAGTTCTCTAAAAGAATTACCTAGGAAAGTCAAATATTATATAAAGTTACATTTTCTGTTCCTTGCTGGTCTAGTATTGTATGTGGAGCAGTCGTCTCACAAAGGAGTGTGAACTGTGGATATGTTCACACTACCTTGCTTTCTAAAGAGCATGCAATTGTGGAGAGCTGTAAAGGATAAGTGCCATGCACATGCTTTCTTAAAACTTGTCTGCCTGAAAATATACTAATATTTGTAATAGCAGTAGATCAACTTTGCAAGATAAAGAAATATCTTTTGATGTATTTCCAATTTTCAAGACTGTCCACCAAAAATCATTAAAGATGAGGACCTCTGGCTCTGTGTAATGTGTCTATTGGGTACATGAGAAGCGTGGTTCTTATATAATATGATGTTCTGGAGTCAGTGACCTCGTAGAGTCATGTGTGAGAAGCAATGATATCTCATTTAGAAATTTATCTTTTTCTTATTTAGCTGAAAACACAATTAAAAATGACTCTTCAAAATTAGAATTTCAAACATTTTATTTTTCAGTTATTTTCAATACTCATTCTTAGAAAAACTTAAAATACAGGTACTTTGAAACAGCCAAAGCAGGAAATTTTATTGACACTAATCATATCTCAGGTAAATGGAAAGATTGTAAGGACAACCAAACTTTAAAACAGGTATTGAAGATGGAGGGGAGAAGAGGAAAACAATCAAAAGACATGTGTTAAGTAAATCTATGAATGTCATATTTCTTTAATTCCTATAGATTAGTTCTATATTGTTCAAAATGAAATAAGACCTACCTTATCAAATTTTATTGCTAAATATTTGATCTAATTCGGAAGAAAACCTCGTCTTAATTCACATAGTACAACACTGTTTTTGTTGTCTTTGGAATAATGAAAAAATAATTATGCATTATCTGTTTGAAACATTATGTGTACATGTGAATATGTAACTATAATATCATATATCCTAATCTTATTATTTATGAGTTTATTCTCCTGGCCAAAACAAATAAAATTATATGCTGTCAGCTAGATAAATAAACTGTATGCAAATTTATCGTGATAATTAACAAAAGTATTTTGACTATTTGTTTTTTACTATTTAAACATGTATAATTATTCCCCAAAGTAAAATATCAAGGTTTGATGTCCTTTACACATATATTACAGAAACTCCTATGATGTATGTATGTATGTATGTATGTATGTATGTATGTATGTATGTACTAAGACAGAGTCTCACTCTATAACCTTGGCTGGCTTGAAACTCACAGAGACCTCCGTGTCTCTTCCTCCCAAGTGCTGAGAGTAAAGATATGCACCGTCATGCCCAGTTGCTAAATTTTAACATCATACAATTATCTTCAGAAAATAACTAAAAATGTTTATCTACACCATGTGAAATGAGAATAAGCAAACAATATAATATTGCTTTGATTTGTCTCATTTTTAACATAATGCTAAAATAAAATTTTCATAGTTGATCCATATGACTTTAATATTTATGTATTAGTGACAATGCTTATGTATGAGTTACAAAATCTATTGCTTTCTCATTTCTTTCAAATTTTAAATAAAAATATTTGTAATTAAAAATGAAGTTAAATTACATATATATGTGTGTGGTTTTGCAAAACATAAATTAATTTGAGCAATACTTTTCAACACGAAATAGTTTTGTCCATTAGCTAATGGGTGATATCTCTAATATATGACCATCAACTCCAAAAATAAGGTTAAATACAGTTTTAAAAAGGCATATTAAATAACGTAAGAGAACACACAATAGTGTTAAAAATTCATAGTACATGTATGTCCATTTCTGAGCATATTATAAAATGTTCAATTGTGTGAAAGTATTAGACATATCTGATAGTTAATTGAAGAGATGGATACAGTTGCCCTATTTCCAAATATTCACAAAATAAGTAATTCTGGAGGCAAAGTCATAAATATTTTAAAAATCATATACATTTTTGTTTTATTTCAATATAAGTTTAGATGTACATAAGGATTCCTAACATCCATATTTTTAAAAGTAAGGACAAAGAATTAAATTTATTAATAAGACAATTTCATTCAAGCTATAAATCACATTCACAGTCTCATGACCTAATTTTAAAAATATATTTCTTTTAAATTAATTGTTAAATAATTTATTTCATTTTTTAAAAAAATTGGGGTGTACATGTGTGTATGTGCATGTGTGTGCATGCGTGTGTGTGTGTGTGCATGTGAGTGCATATGTCCTCAGAGGCAAGAAAAGGTTTTTTGATCTCCTGGAGATGGATGGAGTCACAAGTGGTTATGAGCTGCCTGGCGTAGGTGCTGGGAACTGAACTAGATCCCTCTGTAAAAGCAGTTAATACTCACTAACTGCTGATTAATCTCTCTAGCTTCTTATGGTCTAAATTTTAAGCCCCATTAATCTCATAAAGAAATGACACTTGATATAATTTCATTTTTAATAGAAAATTGTGAAGATTTATAATACATTCTTAGATCTGGAGGTTAATGTAAGATGGTATGATAATACATGAAAAAAATCTAAAATTGTTTGTTTTTTTTTTTTTGGTTTTTCGAGACAGGGTTTCTCTATGTAGCTTTGCGCCTTTCCTGGATCTCGCTCTGTAGACCACTAAAATTGTTTTTATATATAGTTTCTTGTAAAATTTATGAGGTAATTTTTAAAAATT